AACCTTCACACAAAAAAGATCTTGGGAGTTTGTGATTTTAGGGGCAGGGGGATGTTGTTTTATTGTCCATGTGCCAGTTCTTAAGGGAAAATGAAATCTGCAGTGTTGGTCTGATGTTCCTAGCTTGGGAAATACGTGAATCGTTGAAATGGACAGACTCCCATCTAACGTTTCCTCTGGGGGGAATCTAGGAAGCGCTTATGGAAGAATACGCAATTGCGGCTCAAGTGTGGAAGCTGAGCACATGTGACCTGTGTGAGATCGCCAGGAACAGTGTGCTGCAGAGCGGCCTCTCGCACCAGGTACCTCTCGTCCTTTCCACACCGTACGTCAGATGCCTGCTGTGTGCCAGGCGTTTTTTCGGCCCTGCCACCGTGGATGGATGAAACAAGCAGGGTCTCTGCCACATTCTATGGGAGACCACTGGGGAAAACTCGTGAATTTTCATGGCTGCTCTGAGGACTTTTTCAGATCTCTGCTCACATGTCACCTTCTTGGAGAGGCCTTCCCTGATCACTCATTCTATAGTAGCCACAAACCTGCCCTCATTATCCATCCCTTAAGTCTGGTTTTTTTTTTTTTTTTCATAACATTTATTACTACTGACATTGCCATTATATAGTCATATGTTTTTCTGCCCTGCCTTCCAGAATATAAGTTCAGCATTACATCCCTGGGGTCTGAATTAGACTCTGGCACATAATAAGCACTCAGTGCTTCTCAAATAGCTGAACAGTACCTAGATTGAACAGAAAACTCTAGGAATGGGACCCAGACATCACTCTTTTTTTATCAGCTCCCTAGGTGATTCTGATGCGGAGCCAGGGTTGAGAACCGCTGCTCCAGAGGGTGTCTGTGTCCCTGGGCAGCTCCCCTGGGCAGGGTCAGTGGTATAGGGAGAGAGCTGCATTGTGCTGTTCTTGTTGGATGATGCAGATGAGAGTTAAGACTCAAGATTCATTTTGTGGGGACTTGGTTCCTTGGACTGGTTGTCCCCAGGCACATCTGTGTGCCCTTGTCAGCTCTTGGGAGAGACTTCTAGAATCTTCACGCCTTCACCTTCATTGCCAACGGCTCTTATAGTTCTTGTCTTTCTGATCAAGGAAAGCACAGTTGGAAATGAAGGCACTGAATGTGGTTATCAGGGTGACATCCTTGAGGACAGGAAGGCAGGAGGAATTTTGTAACAGCTCTGTGAGGAAAGATGTCTTGATGGAGGACCTGCTTTGGAGGAATAGCCTGATTTGGTATGGCTAAGTCTGAGCTGCCATGTGGATACAGAAAGTGAATATAAGGTATATTGTTTCATTTGTATTTCTCTTGGTCCATAGGAAAAGCAAAAATTTCTGGGACAAAATTACTATAAAGAAGGACCTGAAGGAAATGATATTCGAAAGACAAATGTTGCTCAGATCCGGATGGCATTCCGATACGAGACCCTGTGCAATGAGCTCAGCTTCCTGTCTGATGCCATGAAATCAGAAGAGATCACAGCCCTGACCAACTAGTCGAGTGTTGGACACGTGTTTTAACTTTTTGGTTTAATTTCAAGTTTGCCGTGATTAACAGTGGTCAAGATACCAAACTAGGACTTTCCTCCATGGAGAGGATACCGCTGAAGAACTTTCAAACTAGTGATTTTTGGTTGCACTGTTCACTTTAAGGTCTAACATGCCCATTTCAGTGGTTTCCCTGGTGGCTCAAGAGTGAAGTGTCTGCCTGCGATGCGGGAGACCTGGGTTCGATCCCTGGGTTGGGAAGATCCCCTGCAGAGGGAAATGGCAACCCATTCTGGTATTCTTGCCTGGAAAATCCCATGGACGGAGAAGCCTGGTAGGCTAGTCGATGGGGTTGCAGAGTCAGACACAACTGAGTGACTTCACTTCACTTCATGCCAGTTTCTGTTAATATTTTTGAGTAATAGATGGTGACTCCTCCTTGGGGATCTGGGAGCTGGACACTTGTCTGAACTAATTCCTAATTTTCCAAATGTTCCTCTTCAAAGTGCTAATGCTTACATTGTGGGGGCCAGGATCTTACATGGTCCAGTGCCCACTGATGTGAAGTATATGTGATTTTCTGCCATAGTCCTGTCTATAAACCCTGCAGACTTGTTGGTAGTTGTTCATTTCAGCCTCTCATGGTCTGGCTGCCTTAAAATCTGCTTCAAAGCTCCCTTTCAAAAAGGAGCTACTTTGAGAGAATTTAGAAAACTTCCTTCTTTGCATTTTTTTTAAATGAGTTTTTAAAATTATTTAGCCTTCCTCCCTTCATATTTAGGAAACCAAATATTCATATCACAGCCATCACTCCTATTCTGTGTCTTGGTTTCCTCATCTGAAAGGTGAAGGTTTAGATCAGATGAGTGGTTTTCAGTGGTGTTCTGTGAGCTCAGCTCCTGGACCACTTCAGGGCAGGGAATGAGAAGGGGGTTGAGGCTCTGAGGTGCTGCTTTTACCCCAAGGTGACTCAGCTTTCATGGGTTTTATACTGGGCCTTCTGTGTATTTACATTTGAACTAAGGACTTTGAAAAGCACAGGACTAGATGACCTCTGTTCCTTTTGGCTCTAATATTCTGTGATTGTAGCCCAAGTATCATTTTACTTATGAACAGTTAGGGTCACAGAAGTGAAATCTGTTTAAGGTCACACAGCTCTAATAAGTAATAGGATCAGAACTAGGTTTCCCTAATCCTAATCTAGTCCTTTCCCCACTATTCTTTCAGGCCTGACAAATTTAGAATTTTTTTTAATAACTGTAACTTGGTGCATTTTCTGGCCCCCAAGGTGAAATGTCTCCTTTACCTAATATGCAGACCTCTTCAGCATATATGTGGTCCCAGGGGCCAGGTAGAAAGCATTTTTAAAGACCAGTCTGAATTTAAGCTTTACCAATGTACTCTTCATCTGTGTAACTAGTGCCTGGTACATAGTAGGTGCTCAATAAATGTATATTATATAAAACTGAATGAATTTCCTCTTTTGGAAATTTTTTAAGGTTGTATGCTCCTGGAACTCAAGAGGCTGCTCAAGGACCTTCTTGTCTGTCTCTATAGGCAAATGTAGACTAGAGTAAGCCCTTGTGAATCATTACAGAGTTAGAAGAACACTATTTTTGTCTGTGAAGATGCTTACCTGGCTTTAGGTTGTCTTGTCACTTGATAATGATTATCCCCTCCACTGGTCAACTTAGCATACGGAACAATAAATACAGTTTTTTTACGGGGCAAACATATGCTATCTTATAGCTAACCGTGAAACTAAATGAAAACCAAGTATTTATCTTAGGCACTCATTATTTTTGAAAAGCCATTTGTATACATTTGCCTGAACATAAGTATTTTACAGTTTTTCATTGTCATTTTATATGTATCAAGCATTTAATTATTAAATAAAGTCTGTCAGGACTGTGGCTCAACAGTTTTAAACTATTTTAGGCAAATCTTTAAGTTTTAAAGAAAAGATATAGGCATCATGAAAAGCTATCAATGATAATTAATAATTTATCTTTTCTGAATCAAGATTCAGATATGGATGACATTCATTAGGAAAACTCCAAAATTTGAACTGAAGCTTGCAAAACCCAGGAGGGAAACTTTTGCTCTTTTTTTCTAACTTCTGCTTTAACAGTTCATGAGTAAAGTCTCACATGGTCATTTCCTTTTCCCTGGATATATCTCCAGTCTGTTCAGTCAACACCTGTTGGATTTTACCTGACCTGCACGCTTTTCAGATACGTTTTTCTATAGCATAATGTAATAAATCATCAACCTAATTGGCCTTTTTAGGGTGAATCTCTTTTGTGATCACAGTTAGAATCAAAGCCAGTTGTACACTAGCCCACGTTTCTAGCAGAATGGTTTTTGAGACATGCTTATTCTAAAGGGCTCAAGTTCACATTAAGTGTTACTTGAAACTGCACTGTTGAAATGATCAATGTTATTGTTCTGTGCCTCATAAAAATCAATCACAGCTCCTGGGGTGGTGTTTACCAAGGCCTGTCCTGCACCTTTACTTTGTCTTACCTTGGATAAAGCAGAGTTAAAAGCACATCCCTATGGCTTTCTCTTGTTTCTGAGTACCATGATAGTGAAATAATATTTTGATCATTTTCTGAGAGATCACAGATGCAACTGAAGGTGATACACTGGTAATATACCTAGGTATTCTCTACCTAAAAACTATGACTTATAAAAAACAGGTATAACTAACTGCAATAAAAGGAACACTTATCAGACATAGTTCCTTGAAAATTTTTATACCTTCAACCTCTAAAGAAATATCTTATTAGGGAGCTAGAGTATGCCAGAGTTAGACTAGACTATAAACAGCTGCAAGATTGTAAAAATAAATCTGAGGGGGCTTTTATGTCTTTGACATCAAAATGTGTACTTCTCCATGATGATGCACATTAATTATGAACTGCTACTCCTTATAAATGGCTTTCCCATTCTCAGCACCAAGATTCTAACCTGCTTCTCCAATTCTACTCTTTTATCTTAGAAATTATCTAAAGGTAAAATATCAAAACCACCACAGGGTGAAGTATTTTATTATTTTTACTATCCAGTAGGGTAACAGAAAGACATGAAAACAAATGAACATATTTTTCTGTTTATATTATATTGTCGTTGTAAATGCCCTTTATAAATGTGGGTGATCACCTGATTTGCCTAATCTCCAAGTAGCTTTCTTACTCCTAGATAGAGAAAGTAAGCTGGACTTAATGACAAAAAAAAAAAAAACAGTTAAAAGTACAAATTCTTTGGACTGACTTTTAATGAATCCAACTTCTCAATGATAAAAATCACTGTTCAAGCAGCCTTATTACCTATATTAGGTATAAGTAAATCGAGTCTAATTTGAAGTGTTTTAAAACATAGCACAAAAACATCACAATCTGCCAGAACACAACACAAAACAGTCCTCTAAGGAATATAAACACTTGTTATATAAAAATGAGAAACTACATGATAAAAAAAAATCTCAATTACCTAAAATTTACTTGCTAAAGATTATTTATTGCACAATACATCAGTTTGCCCCAAGAACAAAACATATAGTATTATCTTCAACTTCTAAATTCAGTACATAGTCAAATCCATTTTCTCAAACTAAAGTTCTACAATATTATGAGTAAACCCTTTGTTATTAAGACAGGGAAACTTTATACTTACAAATTTCTTAACAGTTCATGAAACAGCTTCATAAATCCTAGAAGGCACACATATTTCCTATCATAGTAAGTGCATTTAAGTACTTAATATTTAAAAAAGACAAGCTGTACAGAATACAAAAAGTACACATTTCATCCATTAAACAAATTTACAACTTTTACAATTAGTTATTACAGTAGAACCTACCTAACATTCACATCTAAAGAATTATCAACCAGTTTAATGGAGTGAGCAAAAAACTGTGCTCATTTGATAAGGCTAGTAAAAATATATTTCACAGTAGATCAGTTAGCATCTTGGAGCTTATATTGGAAAATAAAAAGGTTTGGGCAACATCAAGTCACTGGGCTCACTATGAAAACTAATTCCTTGAAAGGCAAAGGATTCTGGGGGATAAAATCATTGGCTATACCTGGAAAGATCAAAAAATCTGTAAAGAAACTATTCATTTTCAGAAACATTCTTAAATTGGGCAATCTGAATGAGACTCAGCAAATCTAATCCATAAAGACAGTACTCCATGGAACATTAAAGACTTTTATCTTCAAGTTTTCAAAATATGTTCCATGGAGTACTGAGGAACCTAAGGAGGAGAATCAGAGGTCTGAATTTTGACTTGTATTGAATTTTTTTTGGAAAAAAAAAGAAAAAAAGTCCCATCATGCAACTGTGTTACTCATCAAATTCCTATATACTTGTAATCACCAGTGTAATAACATGTTTTTGTTGGCTGATTTCATAAATATTTAGTTACTGTGGTACATAAATTTATATAAGGAAATGTATAATGAGAAAATGATAGAGCAGGGTCGGGGTAGGGGGGTATTGTGTGTGTGTGTGTGTGTGTGTGTGTGTGCGCGCGTGCGCGTGTGTGCGCAGCATGTGTGTGTAGGGATTTTGAGTAAGATTTTTACTTGAAAAAAAAAAAACAGTTCTGCTACTGAAAGAAAGTGTGAACACCACAGATAAAGTCTGTTTCTAAAGAGCCTGCAAACCAGAGGAAGGGGCTTTCTCAGGTCACACAGCCATCAAGTGCACTGCCAGGTCAACAGGACAGAGACCCCAGTACTCCTCTTGTATAAACAGCTGCCTCCATCATGAAAGTCAACCAATTATTAGTATTGTATTAGCGGGTAAAATCCAAGCTACATTTGGTCATTTTTCCTAAAAATTACTTAATTTGCATTCTGATTAAAGTCCCCAGTATCCAAAAATTCTGCCGTCAATAAGCAGCAACTTAAATTGTATGCTTTGGTACTTCAGAAAATAGTAATATTTGTAACATACCAATAATAAATCAGAAAACTATGTGGAATGTTAAAACACTTTTTAAAGACATCAGGCCCTAGTTAGTTATATGCTGAAATGTTAGTGTGTAGCATAAAATAAAATTTTACTTTATAAACAAAATTTTTAAAAAGTGGCTCAAGTGCTACTGAACATCATATCTATACTCTTTCCTGGCGTTTCAAATGAAATGCAGTGAAACAGAAAGTCAAGTTATCTCCTAATTTTCAGGGGTTTTTGTGTACATATGGTTAAAAGGCTACATACTATTTTCTTAATCTAAGAAATTTGAAGACTCTGGGACCTCAGGAAGATGCCTTCAAATTAAGAAAATAAAAGCACCACACAGACTTATCATAATTTGGACATAAAATTTAGGGTCCCTGATGAAGAAAAACCTCCATCTGAATCTCCAGGATGAATAAGTATTACCAAAAGCTATTTAGAACAGTTTCTCAGCTGTAGGAAAGCATTTCTAGAATAGCCAAGAAGACTCCCCAGCAGAATCCATTTACAAGGCAAAGTCCTGCCCTAATTCATAGTCTTCACCCATATTACACAGCATGGGGGAAAAAAAAAACACTTAAGTTAAAAAACATGTAGTTCCAAAACACATTGTTAAAGTTATGAAATAATTACAGATTACTTCAAGTAAAAACTATTAAAAGAGCAATAGTCAACCACAAGGGGGCATACATACTCCTTAGATCCCAGCAGGAAAGACTAATTTAAGTAGTAACATGCACTCTGATGTATTATACATTTTCAGTTAAGATTTTCTCTCAGATGGCTACAACTTTTTAAAATTCAAGGTTTATTTTAAACCTAACTAAATAGATTCCAGAATACTCTTGCCCTGAAAAGTAAGTGTTTCAGAAGCCCCTGGAAATGTTAACTCAGCAAAGAATTCAAGAGCAATTAGTCCTAATATGTATTAGAACAGATAAATAATAGGAAAATATGGTCTAAAATGGTAGCAAATTTTAATTTATCACAAGTGGAAGACAGGGAAAGTTTATCAAAATAAAAGGACAAACTGTCAGAATAGCAAAAATAAGAGGGTGGGGGGAATTGCTGTGTCTGTGCTACAACATCCCTGCCCTCTCTCCCCATGACTGAAGTATGTGTAGCCCACACCAGCAATGGAACACTCCACCAGGAGGTCACGGCCTATGGGGCTGGCCTGCCTCATCAGCCATGTTAAGAATATAGTTAGCCATATCATCTTCAGTGGGTGCATCTGACACCACCCAAGATTCATTCGCTCCAGTCATCTGTAGGCGACAAATAGGGCAATTCCTGTGTCGATCACTCCTATTAGAGAAATCAAATAAAGAATAGTTTGTTTTCTTTTTCTGTTTAAAACACTGAATTTGAAATGTAGTACATGTACATTTTTTTTTAAAGGAAATAGTGTAAAAGTGTATAGTGAAAACTACATCTCTTCCTCCTACCCTAATCTTTATTATCCCCAGAGGCAACTGCTGTTAACCAGTTTCTTATATATTATTCAGTTTTTTATATATTCTTCTAGAGACAGACTAGCCATGACCAAGTTTGTATGTGTCTACACATCACTGCTCTTTTTTACAAGCATCAGCACATGTTAGAGTTGCCTATTCAAAATAAACATACACTGTTTGGATAGGCCATAATTCATTTAACTTATCTCCCATAGAAGGAAGGACATCTAGGTTTTTTCCTATCTTTTGCTGCTATAAACAATGGAATGGAAGCATTCAAGGCTTAAAATAAAATGAACTTTACATGCAGAATAATTTTGGGGGGAGGAAAGAGCTTATATATAATCACTTAAATAAGATTATGTTTTCCAAAGGGATTTTTTCCTCTTGTCAAACATTACTTTGGAAATTAAAAAAATAGCATATTTGAGCCAGAAACATGTCACAGAGGGAAAATATTTTTCTCTTTATTGCTCAGTGAAATCTGAAACCAAAGTAATTAAATTATATCAATTGCTCTTTGGCTTCTGTGCAAAAATTTAGAAATCTGTTCTAAAAACTAAATGTGAAAGTAGAGCTGGCATATATTGTTCAGATTCATTTCTGGTTCTTCAGAGATAGTTTTTAAGATAATTATCTGTGCTTTTCTGTGCACAAGTCACAATTTTAAAACAGTCGATTTCTGCTTCTGGCCAAGGGACCAGACTTATCTTCCCACTTAAAACAACTAAAACACTGGACAAAATACATGAAATAATGGTTTTCAACACTAAACACAAGAAGAAAGGATTATAATCCCAGAGAGATGGGAAACAAAACAAGGTGAGCCCTATAATTACCCAGCTCACTGCCTCTGAGAGTTTCCATGCCACAGAGAGAGCAGGGGAAACTGAGATGGAGCCTGGTAGACTCCCTGAGTTGACAAGACAAGAGCAGAGAATCTTAGGACGCCAAGACAGCTAGGTCTTAGCATAAAGTGCTGGACAGGAGAAAGCTACACAAGGGGTATATCCCAGAGTCTACTGAAGGTCCCTGCAGATATATTCAGCAGAGTAATGATCAGCGTGTGCAAGTCAGGAAACTACTCAAGCCCAGGAATCACTCAAAAGGATCTGAGGGGACAGTAACCAAAGCTCACAAGGGCCTGGACATTGCCTGTTCCTACCAGACAGAGTAGAAAACCTTGTAATTCATGGAGCATTGGGTAGAGTACTCTGAAGGCTTGCCTCAGCAAGGGCATTATTAGCTTTAAACTAAACATCACTCTGGTCCTGCCTAACAAGCCATTAAAGCAAGACTCAAAAGGATCAAACTGTTTCCAAGTAACTATATTCTAGAACAAAGCTCAAGGATATTTATAGGAATACAAAAATATCCAGTACTCCAACAGGTAAAAAATCACAATGTCTGGAACCCAGCTAAGAACTACCATTCACACAGAGAAGCATAAAAATACAACCCAAAATGAAGAAAACAATCCATCAAAACTAATCCAGAACTGACAGATACATCAGAATCAGCAACAAGAAAATAAAAGGTTATGATAACTATATTCCACATACTTAAAAAGCGAGAGGAAAGACCACATATTAAGCAGAGATTGGAAGATATTAAAAACTTGAACTTCTGGATGAGAGCTAAGATATCTTAATAAAAAATACACTGGGTGGAATTAATGGCAACAGACTGCAGGAAAAAAAGATCAGAGAATTTGAAATGATATAGCAGTATTAATTATCCAAAATTAAACATAGAGAAAATGACTCAAAAAAGAAGGAAAATAGCATCTGTGAACTGTGCAAAAGTGGTCTAGTATATCAGTGGCTGGAGTCCCAGAAGGAGATGGGACAAAAGAGAACAGAAAAAGATGTTTAAGAAAATACTGGCTGAAAAATTTCCAAAACTCACGATACTATACTCCTACAAATCCAAGGAGCTCAATGAATCTTAAGTGCAAGAAACATGAAGAAAACTAAGGCACATCAAAATCAAACTGCTGAAAATCAGAGATGAACGGGAAAAAAAACAGCCAGAGGAAAAAAGGCACATTACCTACAGGGGAAAAAAGATGAGGATGAGAGCAGATTTCTCATAGAAAATGTTGTAAGCAAGAAGATGGTGAAGCAATGTCATTAAAGTACTGAGAGAAAAACTATTATCAGTCTAAAATTTTATAACCAGAAAAAATCTCTCTCAAAAAATGTTTTGCTGTCATTCAATAAAATTCTATGGAATTTATAAAAAAGAGCTTATAAATAAATCATTATTAAGGTTGTAGGATACAAGACTGATACACAAAACTGCTTATTTTTAATATACAGAAATATAATAATCAAAAATTGAAATTTAAAAATAACTTTTAAAGTAACATAAAAACTATAAAATACTTAGTGATAGATCTGTCAAGGATATGCAACACTGGAAACTATGATTGATGACAGAAATTAAAGAAGACCTGTGGGAGACCTGGGTTTGATCCTTGGGTTGGGAAGATTTCCTGGAGAAGGGAAAGACTACCCACAGTATTCTGGCCTGGAGAATTCCATGGACTGTATAGTCCATGGGGTTCACAAAGAGTTGGACACGACTGAATGACCTTTACTTTCACTTTCAAATAAATGGAGAAACAGTGAGATATGGGTTGGAAGACTTAATATTGTTAAGAAGTTTTATTATTGTTTAGTCACTATGTCCAACTTAACACTCCCCAAATTATTTAACTCAATCCCAATCAAAATTCTTATAGCCTTTTTTGGGTAGAAATTGGCAAACTGATTATAAAATTCACACTGAAATGCAAAAGATCTAGAAAAACCAAAACAACTTTGAAAAAGAACAAAGTTGGAGGACTAATACTCCCTGATTTTAAGGCTTACAAAGCTACACTAATCAAAGTAGTATGATATTGGTGTGAATTAGACAATAGGTCAATGGAACAGAAAAGAGTCCAGAAATACTCACCTGTGTTTTAACAACTGATTTTCAACAAAGGAGCAGAGGCAATTTTAGAGAAGAAAACACAGTCTTTTCAAAAAACTGTGCTGGAGCAACTGGAAAGCCATTAAGGATAAAATAAAAATTTTTTGATCCATACCTCATACCATACAAAAATTAACTCAGAATGGATCATAGACGTAAATATAAAACCTAAAAACAATAAATCTTTTAGAAAGAAAAATGGAAGAAAATCTTTGTGATTTCTTAGATATGACACCAAAATGATTATTCATTAATCACAAATTGAGAAACTGGACTTCATAAAAATTAAAAATTTCTACTCTTTGAAAGACATTCTTAAGAATGAAAAGAAATCAGAGTGGGAGAAAATATTTGCAAATTATATATCTGATAAAGGGCATGTATCCATAATACATAAAGAACTCTCAAAACTTAATACAAAAACAACTAATTAAAAAAATGGGTAAGTAGGATCATCAGTACCATCTTTCTAGATTCCATATATATGCATTAATATATGGTATTTGTTTTTCTCATTCTGACTTACTTCACTCTGTATAATAGGCTCTAGGTTCATCCACCTCATTAGAACTGACTCAACTTCTTTCTTTTTAATAGCTGACTAACATTCCACTGTGTATATGTACTACAACTTCTTTATCCATTCATCTATTGATGGACATGTAGGCTGCTTCCACGTCCTAGCTGTTGTAAACAGTGCTGCAGTAAACACTGCAGCAAAGCAGACACAGACATAAAGAATAGACTTTTGGTCACAGTCAGGGAAGAAGAGGGTGGGATAAATCGAGAAAGTAGTACTGAAATATATATATTACCATAAGTAAAACAGTGGGAATCTGCTCTATGACACAGGGAACTCAAACTGGTGCTCTGTGACAACGTAGAAGAGTGGGATGGGGAGGGAGGTGGAGGGAGGTTTAAGAGAGGGGACATATGTATGCCTGGGGCTGATTCATGCTGATGCATTGCAGAAACCATCACAACATTGTAAAGTAATTATCCTCCAATTAAAAATAAAATACAATTAAAAAAGAAATGGGCAAAAGAATCTGAATGAATATTTCACCACAAGATGAAATACATATAGATGGGAAATTAGCATAAGAAAAGTGTTCAGCACCACCAGTCAGCAGGGAAAGGCAAACTAAAACCACAATGAGATACCACTACACATCTATTAGAATGGTTACAATTAGAATGACAAATACCAGGTACTGGCAAGGCTGTAGGGCAACTGGAACTTTTATACACTGGAGTGTAAAATGGCATAACCACTTTGGAAAACAACTGGCAAGTTTCTTAAAAAGTTAAACATACACCTACCATATGATCTAGCCATCCCACTTGTAGCTATTTATCCAAGAAAAAAGCCAAAATGTACATCCATAAAAACAGCTGAGCACAAATCTATACAGCAGCTTTATTTGTAATAGCCAAAAATTCAAAACAACCCAATGTCCATCAACAGGTGAATGGATAAAGTAACTGCAGAATATTCGTACAATGAATACTACTCAGCAATAAAAAGCAAGAAACTACTGATACATACTACAACAAAGTAAATCTTGAAAAAATTATAATGAATGAAAGAAGCCAGACCAAAAAAGAGTATATACTGTATGGGACATCCAGATTATTTTACAGTGAGTGACGGAAACCATATTAGTGGTTGTCTGGGGACTAGGACAAGGGATTGGGGGAAGGAGACCTTACGGTGGGCATGAGGTAACTTGGGGGTGATGGATTTGTTCATTATCTAAACTGTGAGGATGATTTTTATGAGTATATACATATATCAAATTGTACTTTAAATATATATAGTTTACTGTATGTCAGTGATAAATTTTCTTAAATGCTTGATTCTTATTTTGTAAAATAATGAGCTTGACTAGTCATTCTCTAAAGTTCTCCTCAGGTCCAATATTCAATACTCAAGGATTAATATTATTCTTTCTAATGACATATGGAGGGAAAATGTAGAAAAGAGGAGAAAAGTGGAAGGAAAGGAAAAATGTTTGATTCTAGACTCTAATCAGGCACAAATCTCTTTACAGCAAAAGTAAATTGTCAAAACTAAGCTACATCCTCACATTTTATAAACTATGTATAAAATATTTTAAGCAGTAGGAAGCATGTCATAAAATCCAAAATATTAAAGAACAAAGTCTCTTATGTTAACTACAATATATTTGCATTTTCTGAAGTGTATTCATATACACATTCCCATTTGACCTTGGCCTACCCCATGAAGGCAGCAGACTACTTACCACTTGTCAATGCACTTCTGACAAAAGCTGTGAGCACAGGGCAGGATGAGGTCAGCTCGACCATCCATACAAATACAGCACTCTTCCTCGTCAGTCAGCTGCTTTACCCTGCAATGTGAAAAATAAGCTGGAGCAGTGATATTCTCTGTTGTCACTGTGCTGTAAACTTTGTTTCCATTGGCTTGAAAAGTGTAATCAAGGATGTATGTGCTCTCAACATAAAGCACAACATGACTCATGCAGTATCAGAGTAAATTAACCTATATTTTAGGGATAGCAAACATATTAGGGAAGTACTAGAGGGGAAATTTCGTAGAGAAAAGACTGGATAAAAGATAAATCCTGAGATGGTTAAAAATAGAATATGGATTAAAACTAGAAATATTCAGATCTTTCTGAAAATAACTTAGCCCATTTTAATCATATTGAATTTTTATAAATGAATTCAACCAATATATGAGTTATTCACCATGCAGGATATAAAGCTCTCTAAAATATGGGCCCTGCCATCAGGGTCTATATATTATGCTGCTGCAGCTAATGGGCATATAAATGAAAGAATAGCTTAGTCTTAAGGTTCAGGTGCTATATGAAATGTGAAAGAGATAGAATGCAAAGTATCTGTCCTCAAAGAGCTCTTTCATCTCAGGAAGAAAAGAGATGGTCAACCTTCTGCTCCAGCCACAATTTAGAATGCCCCTGAGTGAGCCAAGTGCCTTTGCATGTGGTGTTTGGCAAACTCCAACCTCAGTTACTCAGCTCAAGATACCATCTTCTCTGTGCTCTCAAAAACCAACATTTTCCTCAACTAAAGGTCTTAAATACTGCATTTTATTGGCTGTTTATTGGTTTATCCATAAACTGTAAACTCATAAGGAGTTTGTCTTAGGTTCTCAATACATATTTTTTGAAGTGATTTAAATTTGCTTTTAATCTCTGTGCTATTCTGTAATGTTTAGGTTTTCTTCATCAAGCATGTATTGCTTTTATAATTATACAAAAATTAACTGTTCCAAAGTATAGCCATTAGACTAGAAGCTTCTTAAGGGCAGAAACTACCTCTAACATGTTTTTATTCCCAGCTGTGCTTATACACTGTATGTAAGACACTGATATAGTACTTTAAAATCTGTCAATTTGTATATAGAAAATAAGTGAATGTCAAATGTGCATTATGTGTAGTAAGTGCTAAGTAAAGAAGGAAGAAAGTATATTTCAAATTTTTCAGAAAGATAAGGTAGAAAAATGACAGGATTTTGATAGAGGACATTCAATGTGAATAAACAAAGCTAAACAGGTATGGAAAAAAGTGTCTATCAAGCAGGCTGGTATGAAAGACTGCCTAAGTATAACAGAGATAATCTGATCCTTGTACGTCAAAACAGTAAGTTTAAACTTGTTTTGACAGAGTTTAATCAAGGGGAAAGTGAACCCTCATTGGAAATAATGCTTTAGGAGATCAACTGGGAGAGCAGTATGAGGGACAGTCTAGAGAGAGGAACACCAATTAGATCCTTATTTCAATGATTCACCTGGGACATAATCAAGCCTGGTCTAAGGGGCATTACAAAAGACAAATCATTAGTATGTGGTAATAGAGTAAATGCTATGCTTGAACAATGCATAAAAGAGGGCAGCGTCTGAATTGAAATTGGGAAACTGAATGAAAACCTAGATGGGTGTGGATCTAATGTATTTTAATTTTTCTATATCTATTTATTTCAATGTTTAAATGCCTTTTAGGTGCAAGGTAATGCTAAAAATCCTTCAAGCTCGGCTCAGCAGTATGTGAACTGAGAATTTCCAGATATACAACCTAGATTTAGAAAAGGCAGAGGAACCAGAGATTAAATCACCAACATCTGTTGGATCACAGGAAAAACAAGGGAATTCCAGGTAAACATCTACTTCTGCTTCATTGACTTTATTAAAGACTTTGACTATCACAACAAACTGTGGATCACAACAAACTGTGGAAAATTCTTAGAGATGGGTATACCAGACCACCTTACCTGTCTCCTGAGAAACCTGTATGTGAGTCAAGAAGCAACAGTTAGAACCAGATACGGAACAACTGACTGGTTCAAAATTAGGAAAGCAGTATGTCAGGGCTGTATATTGTCACTCTGCTTATTTAACTCATATGCAGAGTACATCATGTGAAATGTTGGGCTGGATGAATCACAAGCTGGAATCAAGATTTCTGGGAGAAATAGCAACAACCTCAGATATGCAGATGATACCACTCTAATGGCAGAAAGTAAAGAGGAACTGAAGAAACTCTAGATAAGGGTGAAAGAGGAGAATGAAAGTGCTGGCTTGAAACTCAACATTCAAAAAACTAAGATCATGGCATCTGGTCCCATCACTTCATGGCAAAAAGATAGGGAAAAAGTAGAAACAGTGACAGACTTTATTTTCTTGGGCTCCAAAATCACTGTGGATGGTGACTGTAGCCATGAAATTAAGAGATGCTTGAAAGAAAAGCTATGACAAACCTGTGCGTGCTAAGTCACTTCAGTTGTGTTTGTCTCTTTGTGACCCCATGGACTGTATAGCCTGCCAGGATCCTCTGGTCATGGGATTCTCCAGGCAAGGATACTGGAATGGATTGCCATGCCCTCTCCAGGGGGATCTTCCCAAACCAGGGATTGAACCTAAGTCTCTCATATCCCCTGCAGTGGCAGGCAGGTTCTCTACCACTAGTGCCATCTGGGAAGCCCTTGACAAACCCAGACAGCATATTACAAAACAGAGACATCACTTTGCCAACAAAAGTCTGTATAATCAAAGCTATGGTTTTTCCAGTAGTCATGTACAGATGTGAGAGTTGGACCATAAAGAAGGCTGAGTGCCAAAGAACTGATGCTTTTGAATTGTGGAGCTGGAGAAGACTCTTGAGAGTCCCTTGGACAGCAAGGAGATCAAACCAACCAATCCTAAAGGAAACCAACTCTGAATATTCACTGGAAGGACTGATACTGAAGCTGAAGCTACAATACTTTGGCCACCTGATGGGAAGAGCTCACTGGAAAAGACCTTGACCCTGGGAAAGGTTGAGAACAGGAGGAGAAGGGGTTAACAGAGGATGAGATACCTCTGTTGGATGGTATCACCGACTCAAAGGACATGAGCTTGAGCAAACTGCGGGAGACAGTGGGTAGGGAAGCCTGGTGTGCTACAGTTCAAGGGGTCGCAAAGAGTCAGACATAACTCAGCGACTGAACAACAAGGTGCTATGTATTGTGCCAGATCCAGAAGAACTGGGGTCTCTGCTCTTGAGGAGCTTACAGTTTATGTCTAAGGATGTGGACTTGGTTGTCAGTAGCAAAGAATATAACTGAATCCATAAAGAGTGACAGACACGGTTTTGAAGGTTAGAGTTTAAAGCTGAGGGCAGAGGGCCACAGAGAACAGCATTCTGGATGGAGGTAAAAGAAAGAAAAAAGGATACAGAAGCAGCCAGTGGAAGCCATACTATGTTCACTTGAGTTTTCTGCTACCTTCCTAGCAGTAGAGTTACCAGAGGAAGGAGGGAGAAAGTCTTGCTGTTTGTCCTTATTAGACCACTTGTAGAATAGAGAATTCGGTTCTCTGTCCCCCTACTCTGAAAAACAAATTTACAAATAAAAGGTCATCCAGGAAAGCCTCTGGGATATAGAAGAGACCAATATAAACAAAGGCTGAAGGAACTGGGGAGGTTTATCCTGGGGAACAAAAGGCTCAATGAGAATTGATTAGTGTGTTCAAATATTTGACAGCTGAGAGAGAACAGACTTGTTTGGTGGAATTCCAGAGGGTACTGTCACTGAAATAAGTAGAAAACAGTAATAATTAGTAACAATGATAGTTAACTTTTATAGATACATATTTTTATGAGCCAGGCACTGTTCCAAGTATTTTACATATACTAACTCACTTAACTCTCTCGAGTCCTATGAAGTAGAACTTATTACTGTCATCTTCTTTTAAAAGATGAGGATACTGAGTAAAGAGAGGTTTAATACTTGTCAAAGTGACACAGTAAGAAGTAAAGCCAGGATTTGAACACAGGCAATTTGGTTCTAGAATCTGTGCTGTGCTGCCTTAGGAGAGCCAGATTTTGACTCTAAGAAAAATGATGCAAAAGGGAAAATTACACAGTGATTAAAGCCATTTGTGTATCAAAAACCTTGTCTTTCTGAGACAGTGAGTCCCACACAACTGCAGGTGTTCATGTTCAAGCTGGACTACCACTTGGCTAAATATGGTAAGTCTTGCTACGCAAAGTGCTATCCATGGGTGACAACACCTGAGAGCTTGATACAATCTCAAGCTTTTTCTCAAAACCACTGAATATTAAAGTTTAAGAAGCACTGTAGTACAGGATTTTCATGCACCAGGGAGTACTAATGCAGAGGTTTAGGAGCATGGCTGTACTGCCAGACAGGCCTGAATGTGAATCTCCGCTAGACCAGTTTCTAGCCATGTCATTCATTTGTCTAAACCTCAAGTTGCTGCATCTGCAATGAACCAAATCCCCTGGGATGGCTGTGATTTAATGGGTTTTATAAAAAGGGGTTCCCTGGTGGCTCGGACAGTAAAGAATCCATCTGCAATGCGGGAGACCTGGGTTCGACTCCTAGTTTGGGAAGATCCCCTGGAGAAGGGCATGACAACCCACTCCAGTATTTGTGCTAGAGAATTCCCATGGAAAGAGCAGTCTGGCAGGTCCATGGGGTCGCAAAGAGTTGGACACAACTGAGCAATTAAGCACAGAGCACAATGAGTTTATATATGTAAAGCACTCCTCACAATGCCTAATACCCTATAAGTACTTAGTAAATATAAAATACTACTAGAAATAGGTACCAGATATAAGGTTGAATCAAATAAATCTCTCTCAAGATCCCACTCAATCTGAAAAATCTATTTTTCTATGAACTAAGTATATCAGGGTATAAAAAACAAAAACAAAACCCCAAAATATACAAAGGCAAGCAGCAGCCCTAACCTACCAATTAGGCATTGAGTTTCCCAGTGTAGAGGGCATATGAAAAGGGATAACACTCTTACCTTCCTCATTAAGATGACTGCAATAAGAAAAAAGTATTACTTTCATTTTCAACCACAGAGCCTAGTAAATACTATTTACTATTAAATGCTATTTTCAACTTTCAAAATACTTTAAAAAAAAATCATTTTGAAGAGGGAAAGGAATAAAAAACAGAAAATCAGATGTCTGTCTTTGAAAGATTAACTTAACAAAATATAGGAAAGATAAGCCTAAATGCTACTTATAATACTCTAAAACTCATTTGGCATTTTATCAATAACACTTGTACAGCCCAAGCCTAGAAAACCAAACAATCCTATTAAAGACAAACAGGAAAGAATAATTTAAAATACAATTTTACTACAACGTAGTATTTGGAAACCAGTGGTTAAGAATGGATCCGAAAATGCAACCATACATGGAGCAATAAAAATGAAGTTCTTGTTAAGCATATTCTTAACTTTAAGGTAAAAGATATTGTCAATACTGATTTGTGCTGTCTACCCTGTATGACAATAAGACAGGATGTCAACATGTCTAGACCCACGTAAGCCTTTTTCCAGTGAGGCATTCACAAATTTAAATTATGGTCATGGCTGTCAAATGGCAACAGGTGGGTGCGTTCACATGCCAAAAGCATTATGGAGAAGGAAAAGAAAGTTTAGATAGAACAATAATATATTAGGCCTGAGTAAACAAGCACCATCACAGAAAATGCTGGCTGACCTCATTTCCTTCTGGTAACTCAGTACATGCAGTATGTGCACTAACTACTTGTCCATTCCAGAATGGACTGCCAAGTCCTGGAGCCAATATTTACAATATTAATGCTCCAATTAGTCAGATACCTTTAAGAAAAACTGGAATGGTTTTACCAGATTCTTGGACCTAATTCTTTGAAGGGCTTTGAATGTCTAAGATCCTAAATGCATATTACAAGAGGGTATTAACTATATATCTTGTTATTAAATGCAAACAGGTTGAGTATGCATGGAAACTGAGTTGACAGAAACATTACCTGGTGTGAACCACTTTAGTTTTTTTTTAATGTGGCACTCTAGCAATGTCCTGAAACACAGAATAGTCCGAAAGCAGATCTGGGATATATTACCATCTGAGACAAAAAGTAATGTGATTTAAGAAGTCACAGAGACCATTAGCAAAAATATTACTGTGATTTCAGTAGTTTGCATGTTGGAAAAGAAGAGAAACATGGCATTTATGCACTGCTTACCTTCCCATCCAAAGACTAGCCTGACAAGATGTTACAGATGCTGAGTTTTCATCAGGGTCTTCAGAGGTAGAGCTCTGTGCCAATACTCCTGCTGCTTGACTTGTGATGTCTTTATAAAGCTGGATAAACTGGTACAAATTCATGATCCGTGATGCTTCCACAATGCCACTGCTTTTGTTAATCTAAAAATACAAAGAAAATGAAAAAAAAATGTTGATAATCTTTCTGATTGATTTTTCCCAAAAAGGGGAACAACTATTTAGTCACCTAGGAAACAAAGTTTGCAAATTACATAACAAGAGAGCAAGAGTCTGAGCAAATGATTAATATCACTTCCTCTATGTTTGCAGGGTTCAAAATACACAATACTTTCTCCTGTGATAGTCAAAATAACCTGTAGGATTGATTAGGCATCAACCTGTTTAGTAGTGGAGGTCAGGCAATTTTCCCAGACTTAAGAAATGAATTTTAGAGATCAGTATTAACAATCCTTTTAATTTATTTAAATAATTTCTTAAAGATTTATTTGAATCCAACAACCACTTGCCATTCTACTATAACTGAAACAGATTAGTTTCTTGGATATCTTAAGTTCTATTACATACCAACACTTACAAACTGAAGCAAGAAAACTACAATAAAGTAAATCCTAACAAAAAGTGGTTGAATTTTTCCCAGCAGGTCATTTTGAACTTTAGCATGAAGCAGAATCATTGGTCTACAGGTTGTAACTCTCCCCACTCTAGCTTACATTCTTTTTTTTAAATCTCATATTGCACTTTTGATGTCTTTTTCTTAAAATCTCTTTTAAGAAAGTTGCTTTACATCTCACTTATATTCTTTTTAAAATATTTATTTATTTACTTTATTTTTGGATGTGTGGGTCTTCATCGCTGAATGGGCTTTTCTTTAGTTGTGGCGAGCAGGGGCTACTCTTGAGTTGCAGAGCATGGACTCTAGGGTTTGCAGGTTTCAGTAGCTGCAGCTCCTGGGCTCTAGAGCAGAGGCTTGGTAGTTGTGGCGCAACAGCTTAGATGCTTTGCAGCATGTGGGATTGTCCCGTATCAGTGATCGAACCCATGTCTCCTGCACTGGCAGGCAGATTTTTTTACCACTGAGCCACCACCAAAGCCCCTAGCTTACATTCTTAATGTGAGGAGATACTGGGGGCAAGTGTGAGGTAATAGGTAAGGAGAGACAATATTGCTTTCATCTGTCTTGGGAAGTCATGTAGTATGGCATATATTCTCTTTTAAAATGAGCAAAGCCAGAAGGATTGAGGGCATCATATTCTTGGATAAAGAACTTGAAGTAATCAGAGACAGGTTATAAAGATGTGAAAGACTTCCTGTCAACACAGGAGATACCACAGAGGACAGTGGGAACTATTAAATGCAACTAAAGTATCAAGTCTGTTAAGTGCGTATCAGAGTACAGGAGCAAACAGAGTCAGAAAGCATTTAGAAAGAAATGAAGAATAGAGGGAGAGATACAGAGTAGGCCTTAAAATTGTAAATGAAAAATTTTTAAAGTATTGTTGGAACTGGGGACATGAGAAAGTGAAGTAGTTCGACTATATTAAAAAACATGTTACAGCAACATTTCAATATTTTGAAGAATAACAGTTGTAATTAGCATTTATTGTTTATTACTTGAGAAGACAGTAAGAGAAAAAAGTTGAGAATCAAGTATGAATCAGACTCCGTATTGTGAAAATGGAAGAACCATTTCTAATAGAAAATTGATTCAGTTTGGGGAAGGTTAAGAGTCTATCTGGAGATACAAATATGTAATATTCTTTGTAACAGATTATACATGGGGTAGAGAACAAATAGAATTACAGGTGATAGAAATTTACGTGGGGTAACAAAAAAAGACTTTCAGAGCTGAGGAAACTGAGCCAGTCTTTCTTCAGAAATGCATAGTTCAGAAGAAATCAGGGAATAATTCACATAAATTTAGTATTTAATAGCAAAGTTTATCAAACTGCAATTTTTAAACTACTTGAAGTATAGCTGATGTATAATTATAGGTATACAATATAGTGATTCATAATTTTTAAAGGTTATACTTCATTTAGAGCTATTATAAAATATTATCTATATTCCCTGTATTGTACAATATATCCTCCTCGTAGCTTATTTTGCACCTTATAGTTAGTCTTCTTAATCCCCTAACCTTATATAGCCCCTCCTCTTTTCCTCTCCTCACTGGCAGCCAACAGTTTCTTCTTTACATCCATGAGTCTACTTTTTTGTTATATTCACTACAAACTATAATTATTATAATCATAGGATTTACACAACAAATATTTACCAAGTACCCATTATGTGGATGTTATAGGCACTATATAGGTACTGCTGCTCTAGCACTAGTGACACAGTGTATAAAAACCAGATAAAAATCCCTGCCCTCATGAAGATTACTCTATAGGTTGGAGAGACAAAATATAGATAGAATGGAAATAAGTGTTATGAAGAATATTAAACAGGAGAGAAAATGCTGAAAGGCTGCAGGGAAGGCCTCTCAGCAGTGCCATTTAGGAACTAAAGCGGTCCAAGAATGAGTCATGTGGGTATGCGGGGAACGAGCATTCCAGGCTAAGAGAACAGGAAGTGCAACGGCAGAAGTGAACCTGGCCAGGACCATACTATCTTGATGACTGTAGCTTTGTGGTATAGTCTGAAGTCAGGAGGGTTGATTCCTCCAGCTCCATTCTTCTTTCTCAAGACTGCTTTGGCTATTTGGGGTCTTTTGTGTTTCCATATGAATTGTGAAATTTTTTATTCTAGTTCTGTGAAAAATGTCATTAGTAATTTGATAGGGACCACACTGAATCTGTAGACTGCATTTGGTAGTATAGTCATTTTCACAATATTGATTCTTCCTACCCAGGAACATGGAATATCTCTTCACCTGTTTATGTCATCTTTGATTTCTTTCATTAGTGTCTTATAATTTTCTGTGTACAGTTCTTTTGTTTCCTTAGGTAAGTTTATTCCTAGATATTTCTTTTGTTACAATGGTGAACGGGATTGATTCCTTAATTTCTCTTTCTGATTTTTCACTGTTAGTATATAGAAATGCAAGTGATTTCTGTGTATTGATTTTGTATCCTGCAGCTTTGCTAAATTTAAATTCACTGATTAGCTCTAGTAATTTTCTGATACTATCTGTAGAGTTTTCTATGTACAGAGTATCAGGTCATCTGCAAACAGTGAGAGCTTTACTTCTTTTCTGATCTGGGTTCCTTTTATTTCTTTTTCTTCTCTGATAGCTGTAGCTAGGACTTCCAGAACTATGTTGAATAATAGTGGTGAAAGTGGACACCCTTGTCTTGTTCAAGACAGTATGGTACTGGCACAAAAACAGAAATACAGACCAATGGAACAAGATAGAAAGCCAAGAAATAAACCCATGCGCCTATGGGTACCTTATTTCTGACAAAGGAGGCAAGAATATACAATGAGGCAAAGACAGCCTCTTCAATAAATGGTGCTGGGAAAACTGGAAAGCGACATGTAAAAGAATGAAATTAGAAGACTTCCTAACACCATAAACAAATATAAACTCAAAATGGATTAAAGACCTAACTGTAAGACCAGAAACTAAAAAACTCTTTGAGGAAAACACGGGCAGAACACTTAATGACATAAATCAAAGCAAGATCCTCTATGACCCACCTCCTGGAGTAATGGAAATTAAAAAAAGTAAACAAGTGGGACCTGATTAAACATAAAAGCTTTTGCACAGCAAAGAAAACTATAATCAAGGTGAAAAAACAACCCTCAGAATGGGAGAAAATAATAGCAAATGAAACAACTGATAAAGGAATAATTTCCAAAATATATAAGCAGCTCATATAACTCAATACCAGAAAAACAAACAACTCGATCAAAAAGTGGGAAAAAGACCTAAACAGACATTTCTCCAAAGAACATACATACATGTGCTAACAAACACATGAAAAGATGCTCAGCATCGCTCATTATTAGAGAAATGCACATCAAAACTACAATGAGATATCACCTCACACCAGTCAGAAAGGCCATCATCAAAGAGTCTACAAACAGCAAATGCTGGAGACGGTGTGGAGAAAAGGGAACGCTCTTGCACTGTTTGTGGGAATGTAAATTGATACAGCCATTATGGAAGATGGTATGGAGATTCCTTAAAAAACTAGAAATAAAACCACCATATGACTCAGCAATCCCACTCCTAGGCATGTACCCTGAGGAAACCAAAATGGAAAAAGACACATGTACCCCACTGTTCACTGCAACACTATTTACAATAGCTAGAACATGGAAGCAAGCTAGATGTCCATCAACAGATGAATGGATAAAGAAGTTGTGGTATGTATACACAATGAAATATTACTCAGCCATAAAAAGTAATGCCTTTAAAAAAAAAACATATATTAAAAAAAAGTAATGCCTTTGAGTTAGTTCTAATGAGGTGGATGAACCTATAATCTATTATACAGAATGAAGTAAGTCAGAAAGAAAGAAATATCGTGTTCTAATGCATATATATGGAATCTAGAAAAATGGTATTGAAGAATTTACTTAGAGGGCAGCAAAGAAGAAACAAATATAGAGAACAGACTTGTGGACATGGGGAGAGGGTGAGATGTATGGAAAGAGTAACGTGGAAACTTCCATTATCATATGTAAAATAGATAGCCAATGGGAATTTGCTGTATGGCTAAGAAGCTCAAATAGGGGCTCTGTATCAACCTAGAGGGGTGGGATGGAGAGGGAGATGGGAGAGAAGTTCAAAAGGGAGGGGATATATGTATACCTATGGCTGATTAATGTTGAGGTTTCACAGAAAACAAAATTCCGTAAGGCAATTATCCTTCGTTAAAAAATTAATTAACTGAAAAAAAAAAAAAAAGAAGTGAAACTGGCAAGAAGCACAGGGTCCAGCAAGGAGCCCAGGGCAACTGGAACAAAATGAGAGAGGGAAGAATGGTAGAAGATGAGGTTAGGGAGTGAGGTGGGGCCAAATGTATAGGACTTTGCTGATCACAGTAATGATTTTGGCTCTTATCTCAAGTACATGGCAAGTCACTGGAGGGTTTTGAGCCAAGGAAAATTAAGATCTAATTTCACTTCAGATTATGAGTGGAATAGACTGGTTGTTGATCTAAGACTAGACAGAATGGGTACAAGGGCAGAGAAGCAAGGAGATGAGTTAGAAGGCACCTGGAATAATCCCAGTGAGAAATGATGGTTGCGAGGAATAAGGTAATAGTAGTAACAATGGTTAAGAGTTGGTCACATTCTGAATATATTTTGAAGAGCAACCTAACAGGATTCAATTATGCACTGACTGTGGGGTGGGTATAAGACAAAAAGAGAAGTCAAGATGACTCAAAGGTTTTGGTCTAAGTAACAAGACAGATGAAAATAATATAATTCATGAAGCTTCTAAACAGCCACCTTAGTCCATAATTTTAATTCATTAATTTTCTAATATTTCCACAAAGTATTCCATTTAAACATTATTTAGATTTTTTGTTGTTGTTGTTTAAACTGGTGGAAGAGGGGTTTTCTGTGATTTGTAGCTGATGGCAATTTAAATGACAGAGGAATGAACATTCTAGATGAGGGAGCTCAATTAGCAGAGGCATTGAGATGGGAAAGTTGCAGCTACACAGCCTTAAATTAGTTAAGCCTGGTGAGACTGTAGACTGCAAAAGGGGACAATGATGAAACAGAAAAGACAGTTTGGAGCCATATTGCAGAAGGCCTCAAATGCCAGGTTAATGAGTTGGAATTTTTTTTTTTAACATTTATTTAAATCACTGGGTCTTCACTGCTATGCACGAGCTTTCTCTAGTTGCAGCGAGTGGGGGCTACTATTTGTTGTGGTGCACAGGCTTCTTTTTGTGGTGGCTTCTCCTGTTGCAGAGCACCAGCTCCAGGACACACAGACTTCAGCAGCTGTGCTACAAGGGCTCAGTAGTTGCAGCTGTAGGGCTCCAGAACACTGGCTCAGGAGTTGTGGTGCACAGGCTTAGTTGCTCCGAGGCATGAAGGGATCTTCTGGAATCAGGGATCAAACCTGTGTCCCCTGCTTTGGCAGGCAGATTCTTAACCACTGGATCACCAGGGAAGCCTGAGTTGGGACTATATCAAAGCCAAGGAAGAATTGTTGAGGAACTTTAGACAGAAAAGTGATCTGATGAGAGTCGTGCTTTAGGAAGGCTATTCTCATAGCATCACAAATTAGAATTAGGAGAGGAGTCTGAAGGTGCAGAGACTAATCACAGAATCTAAAGTAATCTAGATGAGAAGAAAGAGGGGCCTAAGTATTAGTTACAGTCTCCTTGAGAGTATGAACTCTGTCTTACAAATAAACTCAAGTGAAATATAGTAGAGGTAAAACCGAAAAGATCAGCTGGATGGTTACTGTGGAAGAGAGAGCAAGAAAAGGAGAAAGAAAGTATATTATTTCAGAAATGACCTTTGTCACTAGTTTTTATAAATTTACCCATGTATCCTATGAAGTAGACTTGCAAATAGTCCTGAAAGATTATGTACAGTGTAAACTCACAGACAATAGGAATATGGAAGATACTTAATTTGAATGGATTTTGCACATTTTAAGCCCAGTTCTTTCTTTACCTTATTTCTTTGCAAAGTCAAAGGTTGCAGATTCCCAAAGTTCTTTTGGGGAGTATGCATATTTACAGCACTGTAAAAAAACCTCTAATGAATTTAATATAAATATAATCCCCAAAACAAACACAAAATGGAAAAATATGTGGCTGGTATACAATTTTTGAGACCAGGAGTCAAACTATAAACAATAAAATGTGACTGTCGATCAAGTTATTTCAGCATGTATTCTGTTATTTCTGAAGGTGCAGAGATAATACATTCTGTTATTTCAGCATGTATTCTCTTTCTTCTCACCTAGATTGCTTTAGATTCTGTGATTAGTCTCTGCACCTTCAGACTCCTCTCCTAATTCTAACTTGTGATGCTATGAATATAACCTTTCTAAAAAGCACAACTCTCATCAGATCACTTTTCTGTTTAAAATTCCTCAACAATTTGTAACATATTATACACTATATAAAGTTACACTGCTACCCAAACTAGTATCATATTATCTACTTCTGATGAATACTGTAAAAAATTTTTGAATGATGGCTCTCTTGCAGCTATTATAGTGCTTTTTAAAATTTGGACTTAAAAAAAATCAATAAGCAAATGTTCAATGTGGGTAGACCCAATTGAATGGTATTAAACAATACTGTATATTTTCTCTAAAGCAACTGTAAACTTGAACAGGTGCCATTCAACTTCAGTCAAGGGTGGAATTAGTCCACATTTATTCAAGTGTGGAAGTAAGGTCTTGGTCTTTGCTAATCTAATCCTCTTAAAAGTTCTTTTATTACTTAAATAGATTAGACCTTCAAATTTGATCAACTAAATAGAATCAATCCTACTACACTTACAGCTTAGTAGAGGCAATAAACCTATTGGGGAAATGTGGCATATTATTTGGGTAACATCCAGGATCCATGATAAAAAAGAAAAAAAAATCTCCTCACCCAGGAATTCTTTATAGATTGATCAGGAGTTGAATTAAGGACATTCATGATTGCCCAACTTATTGTTTATAGGACTATGGATGATTTTATTGTATTTAAGAGCAGGGGCTGGGATAGGAGAAAGCTTAATAAAATTCATTTCTTCATTTTCACCAAAAGTTCACTGGCCTCAAAAAGGTTAAGAACCACCTATTCTAATCTACCCATTAGTGGATAAGGCTTCCTGACACTCTATGACTGCTGCCATCACAGTTTTTTACATAGCTGATATATTCATTTACCTTAAATTTAAAGATGAATTAAGAGACACAGTGTGCTGATGGTGAAAATCCCTTAATTAACTAAAAATAACTTACAAAAAAAAAAAAAAAAACCAAACCCACAATCCATTGTAAAACTAAAAACTACTTTTAACCCCCCCCCCACCAAACCAAAAAACCAACACTTTCTAATGGATTTTAAAATTATCATTTAACAAATAAAACCTAGTGTTTTTTTTAAAAGAAATGATCTCATAAGATACTTTAATTTTTAAAAAGTCATCTTAGAGCTATGTAGGGTGTCACTTTAGGATTCCACAGTCAGTTAAAATCCAAAAAGAGAGGTACATGATAAAGATGAGAGTTTACTACTGCCTTCCTTGAGTATAAAAATTTCTGCTATATGACAATTATATAACCAGTGAAATTTGGTTAACCTGGAAGAGCCATTAAAATTATTTTACACAGTTTTACAAATAAATATTAATAAAAACCAAATTATAAATATTTATTTCTGCTATATCATATTATACTAGTAATTGCAGTTCTAACCACCAAAATAGTTTCAGCTTAGAGCTGGAAGTTTCTATCACTCTTACCTTGGTACAGACCACTCGTACAACCACTTTCCAAAAGGCAGAGGAATCAGAGCCAGGCTGTACCTCAAAGAGAAGATGTTTTTCCTGGCCAGAAGCCACTTTAGCAGTTCTGAAAAGAGGTAAACACATTCATTAATTTTATGAAAAGTCATATAAAATAATGGAGCTATCAGACCAGATTCAAGAAAGTTTAAGGCAGAGGAGGAAATGTGAAGAAAACACAGAAAGGCAAGTAACAGTAACAGTGATCGTAATAGTTAAGATTCTTAAAATACAGGGATAGAAAATGTTTTGACTATACACATACAATTTAATTTCCAAAATGGACAGCATAGTGGAACAATGTTTATAAATCTATTTTTCTCAGATCTATATCTCAATGGTCTTTAAATTTCTAATAAAGACATTTAGGAAAAAATGTGTACAAAGAATCAGGTACTTAAAAGAAAAAATTCAGCTGGTTTCATTTATCCCAATTTTGACTACCGCCTCAGATGTATATAAAATGTGAAAAAAATCTTGCTCTTGGTTGAGTCTTTCCTTAAGGAACAACACATATTTTTATAGATAATTTGAAACTGGATGAAGCAAATGATTTTGAGACATAGAACTTTACTTTCTTCCCCTAGCAGAGTCATTCTAATTTACAAAGAAAGAGAATACTAACATAAGAATATAACACTTTTTAGGATAACTCAATATTGTGCATAAGTGTCAATTTAAATCAGTTCAAAGACATAATTAAGTATTGCAGCTCCTTTTTTATTTTTTAAGTCATTACTCACATTTTTCTCTTAATACCAGTGGGGATATCATATTCAGAGCTAAGTAACTTTCAGCTAAATAAATTGAGGCCATTGAAAATCAAGCAACTAGCCCTAGGTAACAAAATCAGCCAGTTAAACTAGTACTGCCAGTTGTCAGTTCCATTTTCTAGCTATCAAGTCATGCTTCTTTTATGTAAGTTTAACTATATAATTCTCAGACAGCACTGATTTTGTGAAATGTCCAACTCTGGTCCATGGAAATTGGTTTAAGAGGCAAATATAGTCAGAAACATTCTGTGCTAAATAAATAAAAGGGAGACACACTATACCATCGTCTCTGTATTACACAGTAAGCTTAGCTTGTGGATGCTTTCATAGGACACATTTTATCTAGTATCTTTAGACCAAAAAACAAAATTTCAAAGGACAGATTAGGTTTTTTTGTACATAAGTTCTAAGACTTTAGGGGATGGCAAACGTCATTGATTACTTGTTAGAAAGTTGAAACAATAAACTTTATAAAAAAGTATTTCACTTTTATGATACTATTAAATTCACAATCCAATTTTATTTCCTAGGAATATGTTCTCAAAAGTAATGACTCAAATGCTACCATTTGTATGATCTTAAAAAAAAAAGAACAAAATAAAATGCTAGAGTTTTAAAAACCATGACTACATTTTTATTATAAAAGATCAGACAATAAACAAATACACACAGTAAAATGTAAAATCCCCCTTATCTGCCCACTTCTCCATCAGCTCACCTGAGACCCAATGTGTATCATTCCAATTCATTTTCTATGCATTTACATACAGGATCCATCCCTATATCCATACAGAGTTCTTTTTTTTGTTTGTTTGTTTTTAATGAGTGAAATCCAATGTTTTTAAAAGAAATGCTGTTCTAATATAACTTTTAAGAGTCAAGAATGCTTTATTCTTCATGACCGGCTAATGACGGATGCTCCAGCCATGTCCATAAAAAGACTTACTTCCTGCTTTTTATCTAAGTGTTCCAGATAGCCAAGTATGTCTCTTATCTGATATAGCTATAACAAAACTTAAGGAGTACATTCATGTATTTTACCCTAAACTATTAATGGTGACTATAATATAAATTGATATATGCTAAATGGTCCCAAACTTCTGGGTGATTTTGTTTGGCCTTTTCCAGGTGTAAGGAGAGGTAATGTGGGATAGTGGGAAGAACTTTAGATTTAGGGAAAGCTGGTTGATTTAGGGAAATCAATACTTGAGTAATCACTTTAGGCCTCAGTTAAAACTTTAGTCTGTCAGCAGAGTGCCCTGCACATACTCTGTGTTCAGCGAATGTTAGCGAAGTTGAATAGACTAAAGAGAGAACCTTTAAAAGGTTTAAAAGGCAATGCCAATAAGTTATAACTATACCTTCAGGGAGACAGAAGATACATATATAAAGAGTCGGATATGAGCGCTGCTAGAGGAAGACTTAATAGAAGTGACATCTGCTCTCCTGTCACTAGGGAGAATACACAAACGAAAACGGAGTCTTTTAAAAGTGTAGCAATCTGGGGTCATTCAGGGACAAAGAACCCTGTGTATTTTAATATCTTCTATACAGGTCAGTATAAAAATTGATTTAATAAAGAATAATTCACAAAGAAAAGGCTAAGTTCTATTAGGTGTGCTCTTTAAGGAGGCAGAGAAGTTTATATTCCATCTTAGAAATCCATTCAAGAATTAAGTAGAGATTTAAAGAAAGTGAAAGTGAAAGCTGCTCAGTTGCGTCCGACTCTGTGACCCCATGGACTATACAGTTCATGGGATTCTCTAGGCCAGAATACTGGAGTGGGTAGCCTTACCTTTCTCCAGGGGATCTTCCCAACACAGGGATTGAACCCAGGTCTCCCACATTGCAGGTGAATTCTTTACCAGCTGAGCCACAAAGGGAAGCCCAAGAAAACTGGAGTGGGTAGCCTATCCCTTCTCCAGGGGATCTTCCCGACCCAGGAATTGAACCAGGGTCTCCTGCATTGCAGGTGGATTCTTTTACCAACTGAGCTATCAGGGAAGTCCATCAAAGATTAAAAGATGATCAGAGATTTAAAGATGATAGCTAAATAGAAAACATTTATAAACAAAACATCTTATTCTTCAGTGATGACAAACAAATTACTACCATATAGGCATGTATCTGGCAAAACAGTGGTTCAGTGGACAAACAGATTTATTATCTAGATGAACTGGCTCATAGTCAGAAACCTGAAGTGCCCTTTGACTACCCTAGGCATCTTTCTCTAGATGACTAATTGGTATATTCTCTTCTGTTATTCACCTTCTTCAGTGCTTTAAAACAAAGGTCAATTTATATGCCCATGATCAAAATTCAATTTTAAGTTCTTTCTATTCTTTTAGTCCTATGACATATTTTGAAACAGTCACATAGAAAGTCTTAAGGTATTCAATAAATACCTGCTACCCACTGCTGCTGAAAACATTAAGTCTTACCAATCAACACTTCTGGTTATTTTTCAGACAATCACAACATTGGAGCATATGTAAGGGAGAAAAAATAAAATGAAAAGAGCAAGTCTTACACATCATTAAGTTCTGCTACTCTTCCAAGAAATTCTTCATAAGTTAAGGAGCCACTTTCTCGAACCAATGTGACATGTTTTGCTACCTTTTCTGGTAACTTGTTAAGAACCAACTGTGTCTGATCCGAAATTTGCTGTCCCATGATGAGATGATGTCTTATGAAATCCAAAGAGTGTTGCTTCACATAGTTTCTGTCAAATATACATAAAAGTTACTTTTATGTGCAATATAAAAATGGCAATATACCCATCCCTTCAAGAAAATAAAAATAAGAATACTTTTAAGTGAGATCTCAATAAACTCGCATGAACCTAAGGTGGAATTTAAACAACTATAAAGATTTACAGTTCTATTTTTCTAAAGATCATATAGTTAAATAAGAAAACAGGATTCATTTATCTTATTGGGAGGGTGCATTTCTACAATTTTGCCTATTTGGCAACCATTACACATACATGGGCATTTAATTGACTATATTTAATGGGAAGATTATTTACCTCATATAATTTTCCTAAAAACATTTACTGACTGCTCACCACATGTCAGGCTTCAAACTAAGGGCTTTCTTATACTATCTCATCTATTTTTTCCAATAACCCTAAGAAGTGGGCATTATTATAGCCCTAGTTGACAGATGAGGAAATAGAATTGAGTGACTTATCTAAAGTTAAACAGTTGGTAAATGGTTGAAGTGAACTTTAAACTCATGTTTTTTAGATTCTTGTGCTTATATTCTTTAGTTCAGTTTAGTTGCTTAGTCATGTCCAACTCTTTGTGACCCCATGGACTGAAGCATGCCGGGCCTCCTTGTCCATCACCAACTCACAGAGTTTACCCAAACTCATGTCCATTGAGTTGGTGATGCCATCCAACCATTTCATCCTCTGTCGTCCCCTTCTCCTCCCACCTTCAATCTTTCCCAGCATCAGGGTCTTTTCAAATGAGTCAGTTCTTTGCATCAGGTGGCCAAAGTATTGGAGTTTCAGCTTCAGCATCAGGACTGATCTCCTTTAAGATGGACTGATAAGATTTCCTTGCTGTCCAAGGGACTCTTGAAAGTGTTCTCCAACAGCACAGTTCAAAAGCATCAATTCTTCAGCGCTCAGCTTTCTTTATAGTCCAACTCTCACATCCATACATGACTACTGGAAAAAACCATAGCCTTGACTAGACGAAACTTTGTTGGCAAAGTAACGTCTCTACTTTTTAATATGCTGTCTGGGTTGCTCATAACTTTTCTTCCAAGGTTATATTCTTAAACACTATAATATTCTATGATGTATAATCATGATATAATAGATCAGCTAAAATTTTTATTGTAGAATTACTATATTTATAAATGTGCAACTTAATTCTAATTGTAAAATATATGTAAATTTAACAGATTTTTCAGCAAACTGAACTACCTTACATTTTCTGCTTAGGAAAAAAAAGATAGTGCTTTGGCTTTTTAACTCCTCTAGGTATTTTAAACTTAGAATTTATGTAATTTGTTTTCTAAATATAAAGGTGATATTTTAGTTAAAAGTCTAGATCACTAATAACCTGCTATCAATGGAGATCAATAAGTTACTGAATTGACTTAAAATTTAATCACAAAAATTTATTTAGTAATCATTCAAATCATTAAAGATTCTATGTATCATGGCCAGAGAAGAGTTAGATATGTTTATTCTAGATAGTTTTCTTTCCTTTGGTTAAAATAGAAAGTAATATAAACTTTTAGTATTTATCTATCCTGATATGTCGGAGAAGGCAATGACAACCTACTCCGGTACTCTTGCCTGGAAAATCCCATAGACGGAGGAGCCTGGTAGGCTGCAGTCCACGGGGTCGCTAAGGACATGACTAAGCAACTTCACTTTCACTTTTCACTTTCATGCATTGGAGAAGGAAATGGCAACCCACTCCAGTGTTCTTGCCTGGAGAATCCCAGGGGTGGGGGAGCCTGGTGGGCTGCCATCTATGGGGTTGCACAGAGTTGGACATGACTGAAGTGACTTAGCAGCAGCAGCATCCTGATATGTTATAAAACTGAATAAAGAAATCTGATTCAATATATATACCACTACTAATAACAGTAAAATCAACGAATATTTGTTGACCACTTCTATTGTGTTACAATCTTCTAGGCACTTTACATGTATTCATAAATTTAGTCATTTAAATCCTCATGATAAACAAAGAAACAAGATAGTTAAGGAAACAGGCACAGAGAGGTTAAAGTAACAAAGTCACAAATCAAGTAAGAGTTTTTTAAAAACTGCAGTTGGAAAAAGAAAAAAGCATTAGAATAAAAAAAAAATCTAATTGCCCCTCCTCCAAGAAATTCCATTTTATTTACCCATTAAAGACTATCATTTTACCTCACCTGAATTAATACTCATAGCATATAAAGCAGGTGAAATAGTAACAATTTATAGCAAAAGTTCTGTCAGGAAATCTCCCTTAATATTAAATAAGAAAAGTAAGTTAAAACTAAAATATTAACTATCTAACTTTAAAATATAAAATCATTTACAGTAAGAGTTCTCAGTAACCATAAATATGCAAATTTTGTCTTTGGTATTCAAATCTAAAATATTATATTTGAGGCTTATTCTTTTAGTCACTTTAAATATAGGAAAAGTACAACTGTTCTAAAAAGAAAAACTCGACAATTACTGTTTTGAATCTGAGCCTACTTGGCAATGATAAGTATGTATTACAGAGATAAATGAAAGGAAGTTGTTGAGGAAGATCCAAGGCACTAAAAAAAATCTCTGAAGGCAAAATTACATATTTTAAATATAGCCAAGTGCATTCATAACAACTGTACTCAAAGAGAAACAAAGATTTTAGCCTAGAGGAGATCTTGAGAGTATTCAATATTAGTGACTCCTGGATTTCACAAACTAGTCAAGTCTTAAAGCCCCGTGGTGCTGCACATTTGTTTCTATTCTAAGTAAGGACCGTGTCCAACAATAAACAAAAAAAAAAAATCCCTAAAATGTAACAAAAAATTTAAGAACTTACAACCTAAGAAATAGAAGGATATATTAATACTACTAGAATAAAAGTCCTTCCCAAGAAGGCAGTAATTTCACACTGACATACACTACATACACAAACACTAGTGTCCTTATTTTTCTTGTTCTAATCCAAATGTGTGAAAACATCATCAGGAGCCAAAGGTTGTACACCAGTGCCAGGGAGCCACTGTTACACAGCCTTTGAAAAATTAAATTCAATAAGCACCATACCCCCTGCATTGTGCTATGTTCTGGGGCTTCAAAAGTCAGTGCAAGAAACGTGCTTCTTGCCATCATGGAGCATCTGATACAATGGGGAAGAGATAGCAATCACATAATAAATACATACAAAATGATAGGGCTTCCCTCATAGCTCAGTTGGTAAAGAATCTGCCTGCAGTGCAGGAGACCCTGGTTCGATTCCTGGGTCAGGAAGATCCCCTGGAGAAGGGGTAGGTTACCCACTCCAATATTCTTGAGCTTCCCCTGTGGTTCAGCTGGTAAAGAATCTGCCTACAATGCGGGAGACCTGGGTTCGATCTCTGGGTTGGGAAGATCCCCTGGAGAAGGGAATTCCCACTCCAGTATCCTGGCCTGGAGAATTTCACTGACTGTATAGTTCATGGGGTCGCAAAGAGTCAGACAGACTGAGCAACTTTCATTTTCACAAAATGGCAAGTGCTAAGCCAAACAAGTATAGGGTATTGAAAGCCTAAAGCCTATAAAATCGGGACTTGACCTAGTCATGTCAGAGAAGTCCTTGGGCAAACATTTGATCTGCCATCAGTCAGAGTTACCCAGAGAAGACGGGGCATGGCAAGGGGAGGACAGTCCAGGCAGAGACTACAGAAAGTGCCTAACACAGGGAGGAGTATGGTAACTTTGAGGTAATTAAAAAAACTCAAGTGTGACTAAAACCCAGACAGAGAGGGAGACTGCCACCAAGAGATGGGATGTTTACCATTTTTGTTGATGACAAAGACAAGACTGCACGCCTGCTCAATCTGCGGATGACTAAAACTGGAATGAATAATATCCACAGAATATCAGACTCAAGACCGAAAGTGTATATTTATTTTCTGAAATTGAATAAAGTATATCAAATATGACTAACTTGTTCAGGATCTAACCTAAATATGTTTTAAAATGCACATAAAGCACATAGGTAACATATGCTTAAAAGTAATTAAAATATAAATGGTCTGAAGGTTCTAGTCAAATACAGATAAGATGCTAAAATAATCCTAAATTATTGCTAGAAGCAGATGTCCAGAGCAAGGGCCTAAAATTCCACTATGCTCTGTAACGGTTCCAACACACTGAAATTTTATAATGAGCTCTAAGAAGTTACACCTATTGTTTTAACTAGTTAATCAATTAACTTGACTGCACCGGATCTTAGCTGCAGCACTCAGGATCTTTGATTTTCATTGTGGCATGTGGGATCTTTAGTTGCGGCCTGAAGACTCTCAGCTGTGGCATGTGGGATCTAGCTCCCCAAAACAGTGACTGAACCCAAGCCCCCTGCATTGGCAGCAGAGTCTTGGCCACCGGACCAGCGGAGAAGTCCTCCAAGCAGCCACACATTTAAAGAGCACAATCATCTGAACATATTTGGGAAAGCACACAATATGTTACGGATCTAGAGAAGGAAACAAAGCAATTTATTTTAGATAATCATGGTTCAGTAACAACAGGACAGGTTTGTTCAAACTCTTGAAGAGCTTTCACATGGAAGATGAAGTAACATTTATTTTATATAGTTACACAGACCAGAATGGCCAGTATAAATTAGGTGGACTTCAGATCAATATAAAAATTTTCTATCATCCACAATCATCTAGAAGGGTTAAAAGCATGTGTGCCTGCTTTCATTGGAAAGGTGGAGGTGCTTAAGCAAAAATAAGTTCATCTAATTAGTGTTTTACAGAAAATTCTTGCTTGAATGAGAAGTGGAGATGATCTCTAACCTAATATTTCACTCTCAAAGTGAAAACTTTAATTCTCTCTAGCATTTCTATATTGATTTAGTAAAAATGCAATAAAATATTCTAATCAACCAGATTGAAAACTTTACTTTATACCTACAATTCTTAACAAAAAATTAAACTTTTGAAATATATGGTCTTAAGATTTCATGTACAACATTAATGATAATTTAATCAATATGCCCACCAAACAAATAATAAAAGAGATCTGGTTGCTTGTTTACTGAGTTAGAAAATAGTGCCTTTTAACAGGTAGAATTGTGGGAGGGCGGTTCCAGAGGGAGGGGGACATATGTATACCTATGGTTGATTCATGAAGATGTACGGAAGAAACCAACACAAAATTGTAAAGCAATTATCTTTCAATTAAAAATAAATTTAAAAGTAAAATTAAATTTTAAAAAAGAGGTAAAATTGTCATTATATGCAGATTTCAGATATTATATATAGAAAACCTTAAAGATTCTACCAAAAACCACTAGTTCTGATAAACAAACTTAGCAAGGTAGCAGGATATAAGATTAGAGCACAGAAATATGTTTTAAAATTGCAGCCCCACTCCCTCCAAAAACAAAAACCTTAAACCTGACCAAGGAGCTGAAAAACATATGCTCTCAGAACTATAAAGCACTGATAAAAGAAACTAAAAATACATGTATATTTATGGCTGAGTCCCTTCACTGTTCACTGTAAACTACCACAACATTGTTAATCAGCTATAGTGAAAGTGAAGTCGCTCAGCTGTGTCGACTCTTCAGGACCCCATGGACTGCAGTCTACCAGGCTCCTCTGTCCCTGGGATTTTCCAGGCAAGAGTACTGGAGTGGGTTGCCATTGCCTTCTCCAATGCATGCATGCATGCTAATCAGCTATACCCCAATACAAAATAAAAAATCTATAAAGTTAAAAAAAAACCACTTTGAAACAAGTTAACATTTACTAAACAAATTTTATGATTTCATTTAGAAAATTCTGATATGACACATTAGGAGCTGCTAGGTCGCTTCAGTCCTGTCCGACCCTGTGCAACCCCTTAGACAGCAGCCTACCAGGCTCCTCTGTCCCTGGGATTCTCCAGGGAAGAATACTGGAGTGGGTTGCCATTTCCTTCTCCAGTGCATGCATGCATGCTAAGTTGCTTCAGTCATGTCCGACTCTGCACGACCCCATGGACAGCAGCCCACCAGGCTCCTCCGTCCACAGAATTCTCCAGGCAAGAATACTGGAGTGGGTTGCCATTTCCTTCTTGGCACATTAACAATCACATATATTTACTCATAAAAGTTTAATTCATTAAAATTATTCCATACAAATACATGCATATATAAATCATAGACTTATGACCTTGATTAATAAACACCTGCTAATATATTTAACAAAAAAATAAAAAAATACTCCTGGGTATATATTCCCCCCAAAAAGAAAATGCTAATTTGGAAAGGTGCATACACCCCTATGCTCGTGGCAGCATTACTTACAACTGCCAAGATATGAAAGCAACTTAAGTGTCCATTAACAGAAAATGAATAAAGAAGTGGTATATAGATATACAATGGAACCTACTCAGCCATGAAAAAGAATGAAATCTTGCCATTTGCAGCAACATGGATAGACTTGGAGGGTATTATGCTTAGTGAAATAAGTCAGAGAAAGACAAATACTATATGGTGTCACATATATGTAGAATCTAAAAAAATAAAACTAGTAAATATAAAACAACAGACTCATAGAGACCAAACTGGTGGTTACCAGTGGGGAGAGGGAAAGAGGGAGGGGCAAGATAGGGATAGAGGATTAAATATACAAACTATTGTGTATAAAATAGATAAGCTACGAGGATATACTGTACAACACAGGGAACACAGCCAATATTTTGTAATAGCTATAAAATATTATCCCCCCAAAAAAGAAAATGGTCCATTTTGTTTCTATATTGTTTTGAATTGGTGTCCTAACTTTGAAGAAAATTTATAATTTGAAGCAGCATATTAACTCATCTTGTAACTGTACTTGGTATCAGGAAGCCTGATTATTAACTCCTCAGATTAAAAGAGAAAACTATCTAGACTACTGAAAGAGCATGGAACAGTGTCTCTCAACTTGTTTCAGTGGAGAAGGCCCCTGACTCACAGTTCATTTTGAATACCATAAGAAGATAAATATGAGTCCATCTGAGAATAAAAATATGGCTCTGCAATCTAGATGCAATAAATCACAATCAAGGGTGCATGCATGTTCACAAAACAATCTGCTGAGGCCACCCTCTAGTCACCCCCCACAGGTTTTTCAATGTCCCTCTTTGGTGACTCGGCACATTCTTCTATCACAGCACACATCATCAGTTAGGTCACTTGACCATCCCCCTCTGTGAGCTTCTTGAGGGTAGCAGCTGCGTTCTCTTTTCTGGCAGATACGTAAGCACACAATAAATGTTTACCAACGGATACAGTAAATACTGTTGACAGTTTGGGGTTTTTTATTATTCACTTAGTAATTTTTTGACTTTTGTTAACTTGTTCAGTCATCTACTAGTTGGGAGAGAAGCTGATGTTAAAAAAACACAGGGAAGAAAAAATAGAAAATTTATTATTAATGTTTACATGAATTGAGAAGTATTTATTATTTGATATGAGCAAAATACTTCCCTGTAGATCATGAAACAGCAGTATTGAACAGGAACTTAATTTGTAAACCACTGGCATACAATTTAGCGAAAGATAAATCTCTGGTCAAGACTTAAAGAACTGGCCGCTCTCATACTATTGTGCCCCTATAACTCAGTCCTTTCAAGCAGGATAACAATGTGCTTTCAAAAAACATTTGAAGGATTTTCTAAATAAAGAATAACTGTTATTTTGAAACTCATAATATCAAGGATTCCAAAAATGCCACATTCCCTAGTGGGTGGTAACTCATACACTTGATCCCTTCTTTTTCTAACAAAATGAACTTTTGTAGTTCAAATATTCTTTATAAAGATATAAAAATCACATCATGGGTAACTGGGAAAAAAAAAACTTCATGAAAATTTAAACCATATCCATTCATAAAAGGATTAAACAAAGATGAAAAGCCTAGAAGTGTAACAAGATGACTAGTTCACAGATACTGCGGTATTTAGAAAACCTCTCTGAAACCTGTTCTCCATGAAATTTTGTACCAATTTCTTTACTTAAAAAAGAGATATTTATAGTTGAAACTATTTTCCACTGTTATTTAGCATCAGTGATGCTAAAAGTACTAAAAACTAAGGTTCCTAAAAATACTATTTATTACTCATTATATTCAAACTGTAGATCACAGATTATCAGCTGTCCTGCAAGACAAGAAATTTATAGAAGTTATAAAAGACCATACTGAAACAATTAGACTAGTCAGAGACACTATAGAGTCTGGAATGCCAGACTCAAAGATCTTAATCAGACAAAAATCTCATAGGAAGAAAAACTACAAAAGGATAGTACTTGGAACTGAAAGCATGGATTTCTGGTATCACCAGGGTGTTTACTATTTCATATCTGGAAGAATGCAATAACTAGACTTGTAAGAATTCTCTTTGGACCTTCTCTGCCTTTTGGGGAAGAGAAAGAGAAAGGAAGTGTGGTATGAGTTTAAATATGAACTAAGATGGCACAGGTGGTAACACACACCAAATATAAAGTGCACTTCTACCAAATGACAAAATAGACCATATTTTGGAAACATACAATCATATTCTGAGGAAAATATTTAGAAACTGCAGCCAGGCAGCATCAGAGGAAAGGAGAAATATTCATACTATTTTTGTGTTCTGAATTCAGAAAGCATCGCTTCTTAGAGGGGAGATACTTTCCAACATAGACGCGGCTAATTCAGGATTGTTGGTCCTGGGCCCCTCATGTTCCAGATGAAATTCGGAAAGGATGGAGCTCATGTTATAGCAAGAAGAATGGGCAGAGGAAGATGCAGAAGAATCACTCCACGTAGAAGATCTAAGAATTGTAAACCATAGGAAGGGTCACGGCTGCTTTATAAATACGCCAGAGACAAGAACTGAATCATCGGGCACCGTGAAACAAGCCAGGGTCAGAATACAGAGATGTACACTGAAAGGGGCTGGGGATAAATATAAACAAAAACAGTAAGCCCACATTCTAACACGGTAACACGATAAAAATAACAAATCATTCAAAAGCGGCACAGAAAGTTTCCCTTCCAGGAATGATTACTACAATTAGTAGTAGTTAAACTTCTGATCTTTGCCGGGTCTCATGGTAGCTGGTTTGACAAGCTCAGGCCTTTCGGAAGGGGAGCAGCCTAAGCTAATTTAGAGAGAGTGGGCGGGTTAAGTAGACGGACTTGGATATTTCTGAGCCGTTAGCCAGGCAAGGGTTTCTAACATGGGGTGTCCACTGCAGCGGGGGCGCACAGGTTTCGAGCCTCACCAGTGCGTTAACTCAACACACCCGCCACACCCTCCCACCACCGCCCCTCCCTCCCACCACCGCCCCTCCTCAAAGCGCACCTGCTCTCGTAACCAACAGCTACGTCCGCTGGCCGACTGACTGCGCCGGCGGCAATATTCAAAAGCAGGTCCGCGCTCGCGGAGAAAAAAGTCTCTCTCCTGGTCCCCCAGAACCACCTTCCCCAAAAGGGACAAGCCACTTCCACGCCCTGTCACTAGAAACCACCGGGTCAGAGACAGTGCGACCATGGAAGGGCCTCCCAAGCCAGCTCCTCTTCCTAAGCCGAGGCCTCGAAACTGCGGCGGCGGGGCGGGGCTTGACTCCCTACGTAAGCCCGGCGCTGCAGTAGAGGCTTGGCGGGTGTTCCTACTCCCTGTAGGACGGCTGAGGAGCAGTTGGGAAGGGAACCGGCAACAGGCTAGCGCTGCGGAGCTCACCCCAGGTTCAAGGCATCCCGCTTCTGGGAGCCGCGGCGCCGCCTCAGTCAGCCTCACAGACCCGCAGGCGGCGACGGCGGCGGCGGAACCGACCACGACCGGGTCGCACTTCAGTGACGCACTAAGTCCCGCCTCCAGCGCGTTGCTTGGAGACGGTGCCCAACCCTCTTCTCCAGACCTTCGACGAGCTGGCTGCGCTTCTTCTGAGGACCTGCGAGGCCTCGGCCTCGGGGGCCATCCGAGAGGGAAGGGTGGCGGCGAAGGCCAGAGGGGGCCGTGCGCTACAGGCGGCAGCAGAGGCCTCGCCTGGCGGGTTCTTCAAGTCTAAGGCTCCGTGGGGCGGCAGTGGGTGCGGCCGGGCCGACTGCCGCCTCTGCTGGCCCCATTCCCCTGGCGAGAGCCCGCCTGGTGAGAGGTACTGCGATCCCTGATTTGGTCAGCACTTGAATTCAGTCACTGCTTAGAAGGCCTCCAACCTCCTGCTGGTCATAGCTGCACGAGTGAAAGCGCAAGTCGCTCTGTCGTGTCTGACTCTTTGCGACCCCAATGGACTGCAGCCCGCCAGGCTCCTCTGTCCACGGAATTCTCCAGGCAAGAATACTGGAGTGGGTAGCCATTCCCTTCTCCAGGGGATCTTGCCAACCCAGGGATGGAACCCAGGTCTCCCGTACTGCAGGTGAATTCTTCACCATCTGAGCCACCAGGGAAGCCCATCTCATTTCTTTTACACGAAGGGGGCCCATTATGCTCTCCTAGCTAGAATAAGCGGAGAAGGCAATGGCACCCCACTCCAGTACTCTTGCCTGGAAAATCCCATGGACGGAGGATCCTGGTAGGCTGCGGTCCAGGGGGTCGCTAAGAGTCGGACGCGACTTCACTTTCACTTTCACTTTTCACTTTCCTACTTTGGAAGAAGGAAATGGCAACCCACTCCAGTGTTCTTGCCTGGAAAATCCCAGGAACGGGGGAGCCTGGTGGGCTGACGTCTGTGGGGTCGCACAGAGTCGGACACGACTGAAGTGACTTAGCAGAAGCAGCAGCTAGAATAAGAAGCATTAAAGAGAAATACAGGAAATATACCAGCACAGGGTCCAAACCAGTAAGCCCTAGTAAATGACTATTATTATTTTGAACACATGTTGGCGAGATCATGGCTTTTCAGAACGTTCATAATGGATAATTGCTGTCTATTAAGCACCTGTTGTGTGCCAAGTACTATACTAGACACTTTTTAGGCATTACTTTTGTTTAAATAGTGTGCTTCAAGTTACACAGCCCATGAATAACAGAGCAAGGGTTTAGACCCCGGTATGACTCACACTCTCATCTTTATGCTTAGCAGCTAAACTACTTAAGCTTGTTGCCAGGCAAGAATGCTGGAGTGGGTTGCCATGCCCTCCTCCAGGGTATCTTCCAACCCGAGGATTGAACCCGTGTCTGGTAAGTCTATCTGCATTGACAGATGGGTTTTTTACCACTAGCGCCATCTGGGAAGCCCAATCTTGCCCTCTAACAATAGGTAATATTTGTTGACCATTTACTATGTTCCAAGTCATGTGGTGCTAGTGGTAAAGAATCTGCTTGCCAGTGCAGGAGATGCAAGAGACACAGGTTTGATCCCTGAGTTGGGAAGATCCCCTGGAGTAGGAAATGGCAACCCACTCCAGTAATCTTGCCTGGAAAATTCCATGAACAGAGGAGCCTGGTGGGCTACATTCCACAGGGCCACAGCAAAGAGTCAGATACAACTGAGCACATGAGCACAAGTCCTGTTCTAAGTTCTTTAAAGGTATTAATTCATTTAATCCTTACAGCAATCCTATGAGGTGTGTAAGTATTATTAATATTCTCATTTTAGTTGAAGAAACAGGCTTAAGAAAGTCAAGCTTTCCAAAGTCAATCAATTAGTAAGCAGCAGAGGCAGATTCAAACCCAAGCTGACCAAACCCTGAGCTGCTTGTTTAACAACTGCCTAAATAAGATGGTGAGAGGCCATTAGGGCCAGGTCCATGGCCTGTGTACTCTTAAAAATTTTTTTTATTGAAATATAGTTGATTTACAATGTGTGCTCCTTTTTTATACCTTATGGAGAGTGTACTGAGGATTATCTCCTTGACAATCAGCACAAAGCCTGGCATTCAATAATTGTTCAACATTTGGACATTTGATGGATATTTGAATGTGAGAAAAGCAAAGAGCCTAAAAATGAACCATACATTGTGATTTTTAAATATCTAATTAAACAAGGTCCTATAGTTGAGCCTAATCTGGGCCAGGAGTTAGGTCTATATCTTTGAAAAATTGCCTTCAATTAAATGTAGAGTAGGAGAGTCTAGTCACTGCAATAAAACTAGACAAAGAAACTTTTAAAAAGGTATTCACATTGGAAGGAAAAAAGTTTAACACTGTATTTTCAGGCAAAAATACCATGGAATATTACCAAAAAAGCTACTTGAACGAGAAGTGAGTTTCATAGGATACCAAGTCAATATATAAAAATCAGTTTATTTTTCTATAGTAATAATGAAGAATTAGACTTTGAAGTTTTAAAGTACCCTTTAGCAGCAAAAAAACGCCAAAACACACACACACACACGTACATAAACTTAGGGATACACTTGACCAAAATGTGAAAGACATATAAACTGGAAACTATGAAATACTGTGAGAGAAATTAAACATCTAAATACAGGGATATGTCATGTTCATGGTTCAGAAGATTCAACATTTTTAAAATATCATTTTTTTCTCTGAATTGATCTATAGACAGGGCAAGTCTAATAAAAATCAAAGGAGATTCATTTTGTGGAAATTACCAAGCTGGTTCTAAAATTTATATGAAAATGCTACCTAGAGTAGCCAAAACTGTTTAAAACAACAAAGTTGAGGGACTTATACTACCTGACTTCAGGACTTTATGAGATACAGTAATAACACAGTGTGGTATCAGTGTAGACAGACAAAATTGAGTTAACTGGATAGAATGCAGAAATAGACCTACACAAATATGGTAAATTGATTTCAACAAATATGCCAATGCAATTCAATGGGGGAAGGATAATCCTTTTAACAAATTATGCTGAAACAATTGGATAGCATATGATAAAAATAAAAAATGAAAAGAATCTTGATCCTGTCCTCATTCCATATTCAAAAGGTAACCAAAAATGGATCATAAATCTAAATTTAAGTGCTAAAATTATAAATGTTATAGAAGAGAACATAGGAGAAAATTTTTAGTGATCTTGAATTTGGCAAAGATTAAGAAAATAGCACAAAAAGCACAATCCATAAAAGAGAAAAATTATATTTACTAGGTTTCACTTCCTTAAAATTAAAACTTCTGCTTTTCAAAACACACTTAAAATGAAAAGGCAAGCCATAGACTGGGAGCAAGTATTTGCAAAACATATATTTCACAATGCACTTCTAACTGTAATATATAAAGAACTGTTAAAGTTCAATAAGACAGCCAATTTTTTTAAATGGACAAGAAATTTAAATAGGCACCACATCTAAGAAAATACATGAATAACAAAATAAGAACACAAAAATATGCTCAACACCATTACCATCAAGGAAATGCAAGTTAAAAGTACAATGAGATATCACTGCACATCCTAGTCAAAAGAGTGGCTAAAATTAAAAAGACTGATCATATAGAGTGGGCAAGGATGTGGAATGACAGGAATTCTCATAGGATGCATGTTGGGAATGCAAAATGATACAACTATTTTTGGGAAAAAAATTGGCCATTTTTTAAAGTTATGCACATCTACCATATGATCCAGCCATTCTACTCCTAGGTATTTACCCATAAAGACTTATACATGAATATTCATTGCATCATTATTTGTAACAGGCCCAAATTGGAAAACATGGATGAATCTTAAAAACATGGATAAATCTCAAAATAATTATTTTGAGTGAAAGAAATCAGACTAAAAGACAATTCACACAGTGATTTCACTGATATAAAATTCTAGAGAATCCAAACTATAGTGATACAGAAAGCAGTGTTTACTTGAAGTGTGGGATGAAAAGGGGCCAGGGTAGAAATGAGTGGGAGGGTGGAATTACTTAGAGGCAGGAGAAAACTTTTGGGGGTGATAGATAGGTTCATTTTCTTGACTCTAGTAATGATTTCATGGGTGTATGGCCTCACTGGTGGCTCAGACAGTAAAGAATTCACCTGCATTGCAGGAGACCCAGGTTCGATCCTTGGGTCAGGAAGATCCCCTGGAGAAGGGAATGGCAACCTGCTCCAGTACTCTTGCCTGGAGAATCCCATGGACAGAGGAGCCTGGTGGGCTACCGTCTATGGGGTCACAAAGAGTCATACCCTGAGCAACTAACACACATTTCATAGGTGTATACATGTGTCAAAATCTCTCAAATTGTACACTTCTATCACGTGCAGTTTATTATACTTTAATGATGCCAGTTATACCTTACCGATGTTGGGAGGAAAACATATCTGTTTAAATTCTAAGAGACTTTATATTTCAACCTGATCTGAGCCTGGAAGTCAGGAAAATCACTCTACAAATTGCCTTCAATTTTATGAAATAGGGCCAATACTCTTATATAGTTCATGGAGAATATAATAAGGACTGGACTTTAGGCAAGATTACAAGGCTTAAATATTTTAAAATCAACATTAAATTGATGTTACTACAGACATCTCTAGATAATTCTCTCTCATCAGTACAGCTCTTTTCTTAACTTTGCACAAGCATGATAAATTAGCTAGAATGTAAACCAGTAGGATAGTAGTAAGGATTATCTTAAAAACCATAATAAAAGAGATTAGAAGTTCTCTTTGGAATAGGACTTATGGAATTGTTTTGTAGCAAGATAAGGAAGCCTTTATTTTTCTTTAATATACAGAAAAAGTGGAGGAAAAATGTTTGTAGGAAGCCATAAATATAAACAGTTATGGAGGGAGGGATAAATTAGGAGTTTGGGATTGACAGATACTACATAAAA